AAAAAAAAAAAAAAAAATTAAAGTGGTAAGTTATAAGCAAGAGTATTTTATTGAGAAGAATGTTTACTTTGAAAAAATATTTCTCAAAACAACTTTCTTTGCTATTCTGAACTTTCATTAACATGACAGTATCTAAGACTAAACCTAAATCATGTTTGTACTGTGATGGATAATACAAGCTTCCATGAGGGACAGAGTGACTCTGGGTTGGCAGTGACAAGTTCTGTTCTATTAATACTTGTGGTAGGCAGAATATGATGTCCACATGCCAATTCCCAGAAGCTGTGAACACATGGCCAAAGGGACTTTGCAGATGCAATGAGACTAAGGATTCTGAGACAAGAGAGTACTCTGGATTATCCAAGTGAGTCCAGTGTACTCATAAGAGTCCTTATAAATGAAACAGGGAGGTGACAGGGTCAATGTCAGAGTGATATGATATGAGAAAGACTCAGCCATTGTCTTTCTTTGAAGATGGCTTTGAAGATGGGGAGGGGGCCATGAGCCAAGGAATGAAGGCAGCCTCTGGAGCTAGAAAAGGCAAGAGAATAGAGAATCTTCCCGCTGAACCTCCAGAAAGAATGCACCCACCCTGCCAATGCCCTGGCTCTAGCCCAGTGAAATTTATTTGGGACTTTTTTTTTTCCACAGGGAGAGGGTCTTGCTCTATTGCTCAAGCTGCAGTGCTCCTGCTTCAGCTTCTCGAGTAGTTGGGACTACAGGTAGACACCACTGCACCTGGCTAATTTTAAATTTTTTGTGTGGAGTTGGGGTCTATGTTGACCAGGCTAGTCTCAAACTCCTGACCTCAAGCAATTTTCCCACCTCAGCCTCCAAAAATGCTGGGATTATAGGTATGAGCTACCACACCTAGCCTGTTTGGGACTTCTAATCTACAGAATTGTAAAATAATAAATTTGTGTTGTTTTAAGCCACTAAATTTGTGGCATTTTGAAAATTATCTATTAGTGATAGATGGGGCCAACTTCGATAAAAAGAAAAGTTTATAACCCAACAAAATGGGAACTCATACTATTACTAGTCAATCTTATTTATACCCCAGTGTTTCTTCATATTTTTATAAAGGCATCTTAGTATCATGCTCAGTTGTCAACATTTTGCTTGCAAACAGTATCCATTCTCTACACACAATAAGGAATTGGATGAGAAATATAAAAATCATCCCATTCTAATTTCAAGAGGGATTTTGAAGGCTGGGGATGAACACTGAGCTGCCATGTTTTTTTGTAAATCTGAAACCATGTTTCTTAAATCACTCTCATGTTGTTCTAATTTGTGTTTGTTCAACTTTGTGGGGAAGTTTCAGAACAGAAAGTTTTACAACACAGATTACAAAACATTTAGAGCTGGTGCCAAGGTACAGGTATGGACTCATCCACAGATTCCCAATCATTTTGGAGTTGTAACATTCTATCACAATATGATGCTCAATTTTATTATTTCCATAAGGTAAGGTATAATTTCTTTTGGGTTATGATAAACTAAGACAAATTTTGTTTTGACAATTTTTGAAAATTTCATGACATCTTAAAATAAGCATCTCTGTTCTTCGTGGAACACTCCTTTCCCAAAGAGCCACTGCCTTACTCTCCACTTCATTCTGGTGCTCAGGCCACGGTGGGAGGACTGCTTGAGGTCAGGAGTTTGAAATCAGCAACATAGTGAGACCTTGTCTCTAGATTTTTTTTTTTATTATTAGCTGGCTGTAGTGGCATGTGCCTGGAGTTTCAGCTACTCAGGAGGCTGAGGTAAGAGGGTTGCTTAAGCCCAGGAGTTTGAGGTTGCAGTGAGCTGTGATCGTGCTACTGCATTCTACCATGGTGACACAGTGAGACCCTGTCTCTTCAAAAAAGAAAAAAAAAAGTCACCTCTTTAGTGAGGCCTTCCTAACCCTGGCCTGAAATAGGAGTGCCCCATTCCCCATAATCACTCACTATCCCTTCACTTATCACTGTCCAATGTTATGCATATGTTGATTTGTAGGGGTTTTTTGTTTGTTTTGTTTTGTTTTTGAGAAAAAGTCTTGCTCTGTCGCCCAAGCTGGAGTGCAGTGGCACAATTTTGGCTCACCACAACCTCTGCCTCCTGGGTTCAAGCAATTCTTGTGCCTCAGCCTCCTGAGTAGCTGAGACTAAAGACATGTGACACCATGCCCAGCTAATTTTTGTATTTTTAGTAGAGATGGGTTTTGCCACGTTGGCCAGGCTGGTCTCAAGCTCCTGACCTCAGATGATCCACCTGCCTCGGCCTCCCAAAGTGCTGGGATTACAGGCGTGAGCCACCATGCCCAGCCTGTAGGTTTATTTTCTATCTCCTCTATTAGAATGTGAAATCTATGGCATTAGGGCCTTTGTCTATTTAATTTACTGACATTATTCTCAGAAATTAGACTTGTGGCCGGGCGCGGTGGCTCAAGCCTGTAATCCCAGCACTTTGGGAGGCCGAGGCGGGTGGATCACGAGGTCAAGAGATCGAGACCATCCTGGTCAACATGGTGAAACCCCGTCTCTACTAAAAAACTACAAAAAATTAGCTGGGCATGGTGGCACGTGCCTGTAATCCCAGCTACTCAGGAGGCTGAGGCAGGAGAATTGCCTGAACCCAGGAGGCGGAGGTTGCGGTGAGCCGAGATCGCGCCATTGCACTCCAGCCTGGGTAACAAGAGTGAAACTCCGTCTCAAAAAAAAAAAAAAAAGAAATTAGACTTGTGCCTGGCACCTAACAATGCCCAATAAATATTTATTGCCTACAAAAAAAAAATACATAAAAAAAGGCAAGGTTGGTAATCATAGATATCATTAACAAACATATTATTGATGCGTAACAACTACTGTATTTCAAATTTGTACAATATTTAGAAATATAAATATCAACTACTTTTGTACTACCACCAATCCCAAGAGATGATAAATTCTAAAGGCCGGGTGTGGTGGCTCACACCTGTAATCCCAGCATTAGGCAGGCCAAGGTCGGCAGATCACTTGTAGTCAGGAGTTTGAGACCACTCTGGCCAACATGGTGAAGCCCTGTCACTACTAAAAATACAAAAATTCGCTGGGCGTGGTGGTACGCACCTGTAATCCCAGCTACTCTGGAGGCTGAGGCAGGAGAATTGCTTGAACCCAGGAGGCGAAGGTTGCAGTGAGCCGAGATCATGCCACTGCACTCCAGCCTGGGCAACAAAGTCAAGACTCCATCTAGGAAAAAGAAAAGTTTCTAAAATCCACTATGGTTATTTATTTTAGGTTTTGGATAGCTTTCATAATATTCACAGGAGAAAGAAAGGAGAGGAAATTCAGCATTCTTACCAATGTTACTTTGTTGTCTGTAATTGGAAATTCTGGTCACTTGAGGGTGTGTATCTTGCAAGATCTTATGCACGGAATACTGAAAAATTGCTTCACTTCTTTCTTCTCCCTTTCTCGGAAATGGAGGAGGGCTAAAATTCTTTCCATCTGATTTTTTTCTAGACCTTTGTGAAACTTCTACTTCATAAATACTACCGGGTTTTCTTCTGAGGCCATACCCTAAATCACCTTCTGTCATGTCATCCTCTTCTGTTTCCCAGAGCTGCCCGTCTGACTCACTTGATGACCTCGCCACCTTGCTCATTGGTCAAGTGCCGTCTTTAGTATAAGAAAAAACGGTTGTCTGTAGTTAAGAAGAAGGGTAGTTAGGAAACCATCAGTAGATCCAACAATCCCACTTCTGGGTATTTACACAAAACATTTGAAATCAGTATGCCAAAGAGATGTCTGCATTCCCACATTCACTGCAGCACTATTCACAATAGCCAAGAAATGAAATCAACCTAAGTGTCCATCAAAGATGAATAGGTGAAGAAAATATGGTGTGGGGTGTGTGCGTGTGTGTGTGTATGTGCACGCGCGTGTCCATGTGTGTGTATACACACAAAGGAATACTAGTCAGCCTTGAAAAAGAAGGAAATCCTGTTATTTGGGACCTCATAGATGGAACTGGAAAATATTATGCTAAATGTAATAAGCCAGGCACAGAAAGACAAATACCAAATCTCCCTTATATATAAAATCAAAAACAATCAAACTCAAAGTAGCAGAAAGAAAAGTGGTGGTTACCCGAGGTTGGAGGATGGGAGGAATGGGGAGATGATGGTCAAAGGGCACAAAGTCCTAGTTAGACAGAATAATAAGATTTCATCCTTTGGAATACATTGCACAGCATGCTGAGTACAATAATGTATTGTACATTTATAAAAATGTATTGTACATTTCAAAATTGCTCATAGAATAAATTTTAAATGTTCTCACCACAACAATAATATTTGAGATGATAGATATGGTAATCAGCTTGATTTAATTATTGTACATTGTATTCATAAATCATAACATCACTTTGTACCTCATAGACAGCTATAATCTGTCAATTTACAATTAAAAAAACAAAAAACCTAACAAACAAAATGAAAAAGAAATCCATCAGTAAAGTCATGTGTCACTTAATGATGGGAATACATTCTAAGAAATGTGTTCTTAGGCAATTTCATCATTGTATGAACATCATAGAGCACACGTACATACATACACAGACCTAGACAGTATAGCCTACTACACACCTGGGCTACATGGTGTAGCCTACAGTTCCTAGTCTACAAACCCGTACAGCATGTTACAGCACTGAATACTGTAGGAAATCATTACATATAGTTAATATTTCTGCATGTAAACATACCTAAACATAGAAAAGGAACAGTAAAAATGCAATAATATCTTATGGGACTACCACCATCTATGTGGTCTGTCATTGAAACATAATTTGGTACATGACTGTATGATAAAGTCGAGTTTTCCAGGGGAAAAAAGTTTATTCTTGTATTATACAGGCATAAATATCCCAGCAATGAATGTACTTACACATAAATGCCCTTGCAATTCAAATATAAGTATTTAACATTTCAGGACTATTTTTTTAGAGACAGGGTTTCACCGTGTTAGCCAGATGGTCTCAATCTCCTGACCTCAGGTGATCCACCGGCCTCAGCCTCCTAAAGTGCTGGGATTACAGGTGTGAGCCACCGCACCCGGTCTTATTTACACAAGCTTTAGAGCAATACAAAATTCAGAAGTCTCTGAAGAATGAGACTTCCAGTGACTAAGAGCATTCATGTTAGAGGAGCATTCTACATCCGTCCCTTCTCAGCCCTTATCCACTTCAAGTGGTCAAGGCACTTACAGTCTCTCCTACAGCCCCACTTGGTTCATTTTCTATTTCTTATCTTTTCTTTTTGAGACAGGATCTTGCTCTGTCACCCAGGCTGGAGTGCAGTGGTATGACCTCGGCTTGCTGCAACCTGTACCAGCCAGGCTCAAGCAATTCTTCTGCCTCAGCCTTCCAAGTAGCTGGGACTACAGGCACGTGCCACCACACTCAGCTAACTTTTCTATTTTTTTAGAGCCACAAACCTTATCACAGGTACATATATAGGTACGCATATGTACAGGAAAAAACGGTATATACAGGCATGAGGTCAGAGACGAGTGTAAAGCCTCGGGTGACTGAAAGTTTTTTACTGTAGTGGAGTGTTCTGAACACAGGTTTGGCACGATTTGAGAAAGAGGGGGAGAGAAGGAAAGAGAGGCACTTTCTTCCCTCTTACCTATTCGCTTTCCCTAATACAAAACCTCTGCTAGTTATGTCTGTTCAGAAATAGAAAATGAGGCTGGGCAAGGTAGCTCATGCCTATAATCCCAGCAGTGTGGAGGTCGAGGCAGGTGGATCATTTTAGGCCAGGAGTTCGAGACTAGCCTGGCCAACATAGTGAAACCCTGTCTCTACTAAAAATACAAAAATTAGCCAGGTGCAATGGCATGTGCCTGTAATCCTAGCTACTCGGGCAGCTGAGGCAGGAAAATTGCTTGAACCCATGAGGCAGAAGTTGCTGTGAGCCGAGGTCGTGCCACTGCACTCCAGCCTGGGTGACAGAGAGAGACTCCATCTAAAAAAAAAATTTTTTTTAGCCAGATATAGTGGTACACGCCTGTAGTCCCAGCTATTCGGGAGGCTGAGGCAGGAGAATTCTTGAACCTGAGAGGCAGAAGTTGCAGTGAGCCGAGATCAAGCCACTGCACTCCAACCTGAGCTACAGAGCAAAACTCCATCTCAAAGAAGAAAAAAAAAGAAAATATCTTATTGTATATTTTTCTACAGTGGCTGATCTCTAGTAACTGAAACCCGGAAGGCCAAAGCATGGATAAGGGGAAGGCTGCTGTATTTGCACAGCTGGTTCCTCACTCTCTTTGGGTCTTTAGCATCACCTTTTCAGGGGGGCCTTTCCTGCCACACCTTCCAAAACTGCAAACTCTCTTCCCTATCCCACTTCTCTGTTTTATTTTTCTCCTTAGCAGTTACGACCTTCTAGCACACTCCTCCATATTTTACTCGTTTTTTAAATCCCACCACTAAAACCAGCGCCAATAAGAAAGGGGAAGCCAGTGCAACAGCGGGAGTCCAGAGCGGCGGGAGTGAGTCCACAGCAGCGGAAGGCAGCGTGGCCCTGACCTGTAATGCACCTGGACAGGGAGGGCAGCGCAGCGTTTCCCCTCCATAGCCCAGACCTGCTCCAGATGGCCTGCGGTAGAATGGGGGTTCCAGAAGGAGAGAAGGGTTTTGTTTTTTTATTTACTTATTTGGGAGATGAGGTCTAGCTATGTTGCCCCGGCTGGTCTCCAACTCATGGGCTCAAGTGATTCTCCCAATTCAGCCTCCAGAGTAGCTGGGATCATAGGAGTGAGGCACCACGTGGGGATGGGGAGCAGATATACACCACACTCAATAAATACTTGTTTAATAACTGAATAAAGGAAGGGAGGAATAAACAAACTGAAATACAATCACCCCAAGGAATGCAAGGGGAACTGGTTCCAGGACCCCTGGGGATTTTCTTGTATCCTCAAATTATTGGCCAGGCATGGTGGCTCACACTTGTAATACCAAGGCTTTGGGAGGCTATAGCAGGAGGATTGCTTGAGCCCAGGAGTTTGAGAACAGCCTGGGCAACAAAGTGAGAATCCATTTCTACAAAAAAAATTTTAAACTTAGTTGGTGGCACATGCTACTCAGGAAACTGCGGTGGGAGACATGTTTGGGTCTGGGAGGTGGAGGCTGCAGTGAGCCATAACTGTGCCTCGACACTCCAGCCTGGGCTACAGAATAATACTCTGTCTCAAAAAATTTTTTTAAATTAATAAAAAAGGTATTGTATTTACATATTACCTGGGCACATCCTCCCGTGTACTTTATATTTTCAATTGTCTCTAAATTACTTATATCGAATACAATGCCTATATATTACTTCATTCCTGTGCATTGACTGATTTTGAGACAGAGTTTTGCTCTTGTTGCCCAGGCTGGGGTGCAATGGCGTGATCTCGGCTCACCGCAATCTCTGCCTCCTGGGTTCAAGTGATTCTCCTGCCTCAGCCTCCCAAGTAGCTGCCATTACAGGTATGTGCCACCACGGCTGGCTAATTTTGTATTTTTAGTAGAGATGGGGTTTCTCCATGTTGGTTAGGCAGGTCTCAAACTCCCGACCTCAGATGATCCACCCACCTCGGCCTCCCAAAGTCCTGGGATTACAGGCATGAGCCACTGTGCCTGGCTTCATTCCTGTGGTTTTAATCTCGTACTCTGAGTGCTGCAAATTCATCTTTGTTTTTGGAACACTGTGGATTTTTTTCCCCAAATACAGGTATTTTAAATCCTGGTTGGTTGAATCAACCAATGTGGAACCCACAGAGCTCCTATCCTATCTCAGGCCATCCAGAGCAGGTTTGGTTAGACTGTACTTGCCTCTAGGGCAGAAAAAGAAAACCAGCACCCTAGCAGGACTCCACACCAGATACAGAGGAGTTACACCTGCCTTTCTTCCCAGCAGAAAACTCCTGGCAAAAATGGCTACAGATCAACTAGTATCGCTGAGCCCACCCTGTGTGGAGACCACCCCAGTCACCTACCTCGTGACATGAAGCAGCTAGGAGAAGCCAAAATGCTCAACCTTGTGCCTCCAGTTCAGAGTGCAGATAAGAGGGACTTTCACCACCAGGCATTTCAAAACAGTTGCTTTGTTACAACTGTTTAGAAATATTTCATCCTTCTCTCAAGGTTCATTTAAAAAAAAGTGGGGTGTGGGGTAAACATATCTGACACTTTCCTCTAAATATCCTGCTGTTTAAGTAGTTCCTTGCCAAAACTTCTAAAGAAATTTAATCTGTCTTGCATTTGTTGTGGAGATCTCTCTATTCTTCCACTATTAAAACCTTATGTAGATACCAAATTAATCTGACCATGTATTAAGGAATTTGTCATTTTTAGGGCCAAAATGCCATGTATTTTCAATGTTAAAAACAAGGACCCTTAAAAGATTTGAACAGATATGTCACAAAAGAAGATACTTGGATGGAAAGATGCTCAGCATCATTAGTCATCAGGCAACTATAACTTAAACCACAGTGAGATTCCAATGCGCAGCACTGACAATTCCAAGTGCTGCTGAGGATGTGGAGTAACTGAAACTCTCATATATTGGTGGTGTGAGTAAACCATGGTACAACCACTGTGGAAAACAATTTGACATCTTCTTATAAACATG